GGGGGATGGTGCTGCCAGCAGATCAACCTGTACCTGTGGGGCTAGTGCATCAGCAGCTTGATGGTGCCTTCAGGCTTCCTGATACCCCAAAATTGGTGCTGTGCCTTTGGTCAGACCCCAACAACTTGGGACCAATTTTACCAAGAAATTAAATGGCCAAAAGTTAGGTTTGTGGGAGCCACACACACAAAACACCTCTGTCTCAGCTATACAAGCTCATTTATCGGCCTTATTTCAGAGACCCATAAATAAATTTTGAAAGAGATAAAAAGCCCCAATTTATCTTGGACCCACGCATGGCTGAACAGAGTGGGGTAAATCGGAGGGGGGCAGGTCAGCCTGGAGTCCGCCCATACAGAACCCCTGGCAACCGCTTGCTTCCACAATCCAAAATCACCACCATACCCCTAGCCTGACTCCACCATCTCAGGACAGATCTCACTGAGACACAATCTGCTGAAAATTCTGGTAGGCAAGTTTTGTGACTGAAATCTCCAGGCATTCTTGGGGTCGGGATGGGCTACCAACCCCCACCTCCCTGTATTTCTGGAAGCATTGACAGTCACATCAACACCCCAAAGCTGCCACCCAGTTAAAAAGGTCCCCCAGCATTACTGACATAATTAAAATACGGAATGCCCTGAACAAACACCATGACCTTTTAGTGCCTGTATTGCAAACCATAATGCACAAAAGGAAAAGGAGAAAGAGAGCAAAGAAGGAAAGTGTCTCCCATAGAGGGAGTTTGGGATGGGAACTGGGTGTTGGGGGATGGTGAGAAGGAAACAGGAGACATAGATGGTGGGAAATGTACACTGGTGAAGAGAAAGGTGATGAAACATTGTATGACTGAAACCCAATTATGAACAGCTTTATAATGGTCTATCTTACGAATATTCAATTTAAAATTTTTTTTAAAAAGTAGTGTGGAGTTCATGTCCACTTCAATCAGCTTCATCAATGGCTGAATAATTAGCAGTACTCCTATATTTAAAAATAATTTAAAAAATATATCCTATCCTCCGTCTTTGCAACAAGTTCATATTATTTCTACTCTTTATAATCTCCAATTTATAGCCATGGAAGCAGAAATTGAGAGTGGCCTATGATAATTGCTTATATCTCTTCACTATACCTCACATCTAATCTAATTTTCCTATGTTCATAAAACACATATCAAGATTTTCTCTGGGCCTCAAATCAGAAAATCAATACATCTAAGTAGTGTTTTTTATGAAAAAGAAGTAACATGAGCAGAAATAATTTCTGAATATTTAATAAGTACCTGAGATCATCCAATGTCATAAAGAAAGTAAAATTAGAACTAGATACTTTGCAGTGGACCTGTTTTGTAATATAATAAAAACATGTACATATAATAAAAATATGTAAAGGTGAAGAGAGACTCAAATGTTGAAGAGAGTAAAAAAGCAGGAGAAACAAAATGTTAGAAAAATGGGTGTAAAGAAATATGGGCCCTGGCACAGTAAAATTTGGTTTAATGTTTGTAAACAGCAATTCAGCAGTATGTAAAATTTTAAAAGTATATACCGGAGCGAAAGCACAGCAGTAGGTCATCTGCCTTGCATGCGGCCATTCAGGCAGACCCAGGTTCTATTCCTCCGCCCCTCTCTGAGAGCCCAGCAAGCTACCAAGAGTATTTCGCCCTCATGGCAAAGCCTGGCAAGCTACCTGTGACATATTTGATATGCCAAACACAGTAACAACAAGTCTTACAATGGAGACATTACTGGGCCCAAGCAAATCAATGAACAATGGGAGGACAGTGCTACAGTGCTACAGATATTGCATAAAAAAACCCCAAAGCATCAAATATTGTGTGATCATGGAAAGATACCTTGGAAAGGTATCGTCAACATGGAAAGATACCTTCTTATATACTTAAATGGAAATAATGTTCTAAACAGACTATAATATTATTTTTTAAAAAAACAAAAATAGAAACTTCGTAAGATCCAGCAACACCACACCTAGGCATTTTAAGGATATGAAAATACTAATTTGAAAATATATTTGCACAACCATGTGTGCAAAGCAATAGCCAGAACACAGAATCAAAGTGAAAGCCCATCAACAGATGACTGGAGAAAGAAACTGTGCGATATACAATAATTAAATTTAAAAATGTGCCTGTTAAGGCGTTAGGCTGGGGCACAGGAGGGAACCTGGGAACACTGGTGGAGGGAAGTTGACACAGATTTTGGGACTGATATGGGAACACTGTATGCCTGAAACTATTATGGACACATCTGTAAATCATGGTGCCAAAATTTAAAAATTTACTTTAAAAAAAGAGAGAGAAAGAAACTATGGTATATATAGTCAGTGGAAAGCTACTCTGCCATTTAAAAAGATGAAATCATGCCTTCAGGGACAAAATGCATGGAACTCAAGGTAATTATGCTAAATGAAATAAGTAAGGCAATTACCAGATAGTTCTATTCACATGTAGAATATAAACAACTAAAGCAAACTGGGAAAAAAATCAAAGAAATGAACTTACTAAATTTTCCAGAGAGAGTGGACTTGTACACTGAATTAAACACAAACACAAGGACCAGGAAAAAGATTTTAGGATGAAATCTTGGAAAATTTCTGAAACCAAGAAGAACCCCAGCACCCACTGCCATGGTGCAGGCTGAGCTGAAGGAAGCCCACTGGAGGCTCTTCAGGTCCCAGGAACAGGCCTTCTGATCTGCTCTGACTCTGATTATGCCAACATCTGGACCTGTTTATCTCCTTTGTTTTGTCTTCTGTAGTGATTTGAAACTAGCATCCTGTGTTTAGTACTCGTGTTGACTTGCAATTTAGTGAACCATATATTTTAACCTATGTTTCTCCAATGATCAAAGTCAGACCAAACAATGTCATGGGTCTACCCTGCAATTAAAGTAAAAAATTAAGCATGGTTTTTACTTGACTTTAGCTTTGATCTTACCTTAAAAATACTACAAACATAATATATTATAAACCAATTAAGTTTTGCTTTAAGTTATGTTTCTTTCAAATAATGTGTTTAGCTTTTATATTTAGCTGTAACTATTTTAGGAAACCATATACTGACTGCTTGGCTTCCATCAATCTTTTTATAGCTTATTTTGAGTTACTACCTTTGATTTTTTTAGTTGACCTATAGAACAGGTCTATAAATAATTTGTTGGGGGTGGGGAGCACTCCAAGCATGGATAAGAGAACTCAGGGGTCTCCTGTCACTCCTGGTTACAGCCTAGTTTGTGTGAGCAGCCAGGGTCATACCCAGAAGTGCTCATCCGGGCCTAGGTCTTTAAATTGTTTTTAAGGAAAGCCACATTGTGTCTGACTCTTAGTCATCTTAAAATATCTTTTTACTACCTGAACTCATGAATTAAATTTAGTATGGAGCAGTATTCATAGATCAGAGTTCAGCCTGAGGTAAGACTATATTACTCTACAATATATACTATGATATAGACTAACAAAATAATATAGACGATAGCACAGCGGGTAGGGCGTTCGCCTTACACGCGGCCAACATGGCCGACCCGAGTTCGATTCCTCCGCCCCTCTCGGAGAGCCCGGCAAGCTACCGAGAGTATTCGATATGCCAGACACAGTAACAACAAAGTCTCCAATGGAGACGTTACTGGGCCCGCTCAAGCAAATCGACGACCAACGGGAGGGCCTTTACCTTTACCTTTTACTATATTACTCTATGTGAGCTGGGCAATAAAGACTGAAGGACAGCCTATTTTTCTTTTTGTGGAAAAACTATTATTTATTTCTAGTTGATTATGAAATATTTTCTTTACTCTAGGTTTGCAAGCTATGATCAACACAGGATATTTTTTGCTAAAATGTTAATTTTTTATGCCCTGACTATAGCTGGGTTTTGTGGCCCCAAAATTAAAGAAAAAGATGCCAATTTTTCTGTAGTCTTGGATGACTAGTTCATAGATTGCATTTTATCCACTGTTAATTCTGCTCTTCAGCGAAAGCAGAGTATTTTTGCCTTGCATTTCACACTTTTATCAATCTATCCTCTAGCGGGTAGGTTATGTGGAGTGACTTAACCCACCCAGATGTGTTCATGAGTTCCAGAAGGGCTACATCAGATCTATACCTTAAGGCTGGATTGATTTGCATAACCCTACCTCAGGTCCCAGCAAGTAATCAGCCACAGCTTTAGCCCTTCAGAGTAGATCTTAACAGTTTTCTCTTCCCAGGGCGCTTTTGCCTCTAAAGCATTCCTTAGCCGAATATCCATAGCCAAGTATCACTTATCTTCTTCATTCTATTCACTCTTTGTTGTGTTAGGAACATACTCTTTTGAATCTATATAAACAGATTCAAAGAAAGCTATGCATGATCCATTTCTGGCTCTCTTAAGAATTTTATTCCCATAAAGGAGAGGAGAGTGGTCTGATTTCAGGCTATGGTAATTCAGAGGTCCTAACTGTGAGCAGAGGTGAAATGAGTAAGGCTTTGGGTGAGGTGTCTTGTTGGCTATTTAGAATTCAGATGAAAAGAGGTCATTCTGGGGTGGATATTCTCCAAACAACTTCACTGGCACTGGACTAGGTGGAAATTCCTTCAACATTTCTCTCAGTGTTGATATGAAGGAAGGTTCATGTGCTTGCAGTGTCATGGATATTTTGATAGGAAACGAAATGTGTCTCAGGCTAATCCCCAATGCACTGCCTCCCTGCCACCCCTGGGGAACAATATATTCTCAAGATACTACTTCACTCACCAATCCAATAGAAACCAAATGATACCTGTGGATGGAATTTTAAAATATTGCACAAAAGAATTGACGGTAGCAACTTGGACTTCAAAGTAAGCAAAGCTGTCATGCAAAATGGCCTGGGGGAATTTTCACCATTCCCAGAAGCTTGTAATTGAACTGACTCATCCTTGACAACATTTAGTTAACCATTCATCAGTGAAAGCATGCCTTAAACACATGACAAAAGGGAAAGTCTCACACAACATGTATTTACCTTGTAGTAAATTCTGGCCATCAAACCCCGCTGAAGAACTGTTTCACGAAAGTTTACTGCTTTCAACAGAAAGGTGAGATTGCCCACTGTGTCCACATTAAATGCCAGGAAACTGAAAGAAGAAAAAGAGTCACTATCATTATTGCTTGTTCTCATTAAAGAATTTCACTAGGAAGAAACAGATAAGGGTTTATATCTCAAATAAAAACTCAGAATCAAGCAACTGTTTTAGTCAAGCATCTTTTCATCTTCTTTTTTTTGGTAAATGTTTGGCTTATTGTACTCTTATGGTACAAAATTTGGCTCTTTATGGTATAAAAAATAATCGGGATTTTTTTTGTTTTGTTTTTGGACCACATTGGCAGTGCTCATGGGTTACTCCTGTCTCTGTGTTCATGAATTACTCCTGGTGGTGCTCAGGGGAACATATGGGATGCCAGGGATTAAGCCTGGGTCAGCTGCATGCAAGGCATATACTCTGCCCGCTCCACTCACAGTACTATCTTTCTGGTCCCATAATTGTTTTTCTTGATTTTTTCACTATCACATTTATAAATTTTGTTTATTGTTTACATCGCTTAATTCATTAACAGTTATGCAGATTTTTCAAGTAGGTTTATTTTAACAACTCAACAATAATTGTATCTTATGATAATGTTATAATAATTTCACAAAGGATTTGTCAATAAACAATAAAATCAAGAGCTGTGCTAAATATTTGCTATGGATTTTTAAATATGTTCAATAACTCTATAATAAAATACTATGATAATCCAATATATATTTCTCAAGTTGAGAAACTGAGACCCAATAACATTCAGTAACCTGCAGACCAGAGGGAGGTCACTGACCACAGACCACAGTCAAGCTTGGGTATTATCTGAGAGGTCATTAGTATCTAAGTAAAGAGAAGCTCCAGAGGGCAGAGAAATGGGTGTAAGGAAGCACAGGGGATAGTAGGTCACAAAGATGACTTTCTTCATCAGGAATTAATTACTATCTTCCCCATTTAGCTAATGAGAAATTTGAGGCACTAGGAAGTTGAGATTAGAGACCACAAACTCAAAGCACCCATGCCTCCCTCAAAGCACTGTGGACTTTAATCAGGCCATTCAACCTTTTATGATAACTTTGTATATAACTGTGTGTTTATGTGTGTGTGTATGTGTGTGTCTCTCTGTGTGTGTGTGTGTGTGTACATACCCCAATCATCCTTTGGCCCTCCCATTCCCCATGCACCTGAGAAGTCAGATCCAAATAACTTATTCTCATTAAACCAAAATAAAAAACCCACAAGTAGCTTATTTTGCCTTTCATGATAATTTCGCATATACCTCTGTGGGTGACACAAACATCTCACGAAATTTGTCTTTAGAACCTAGCTATACAGCCGATGCTTCATTCACGCATAGGGTTTCTCATACCCAATCATCCCTTTGTTGTCCCATTCCCTATCCCCCCCCTGGAAAGTAAGACCCAAATAACTTATTCTCATTAAACCAAAAATTTAAAAATCGACAAGTAGCTTATTGCTGTTTAATCAAGAGCCACCACCAGATTCTCCACCCAGATCCCCCATCTTCCAGTAGGTAGGCATTACACCCACCAGCTGCCGCTGGTGCCAGGTGGTTCCCATGAACGGCCAAGATCCAGATACTATAAAACCCAGCTCCCAAAAGCACGCGGCCGCATTTGTGGTCGCGCAACACCTTATTATCTCATTTTTACTTTGGAGAACTCGGCAGGCTACTGAAAGTATCCTGCCCGCATGGCAGAGTCTGGCAAACTTCCCATGTCGTACTCAATATGCCAAATACCAGTGACAATGATAGGTCTCATTCTCCTAGCCCTGAAAGAGCATTGAATATGGCTCTTTTAAAATCTCAGGGCTAGGAAGAAGGAGACATTACTGGTGCCTGCTCGAGGCAATCAACAAACAATAGGATGATCGTGATCGTGATCGAATCAGGAGTCATGAAAGAAACTTTAAGAAGCAGGGCCAGTCAAAGAGTTAATATGTACTGGGCTGTCCTGGGTTCATTCCCCAGCACTTCGGACGGTTCTTCAAATCCTGACATGAGTGATCCCTAAGCTGAGAGCCAGGAATAAACTGATCATTCAGGAGTGTGGCAAAAATATATATATTTAAGGAAAATATAAAAATGGGGAGGAAGGGGAGGAGGAGGGGGAATAGAAGAAGAGCAGTATATTGATATTATATCTGCATCTTAGAGAGAAAGGAAATCTTCACTCACTTGTCAGGAGTGACTATGGCCCACCTAGATCTAGAAACTTCACCCAGCATAGAACACTGTAGTCTCATAAGGAGGAATAACATAAAAGGCAGCATGCTTCTAATTGTGTATTTTAACAAGAAGGCCAAAGTTAATCTAAGATTAAATAAAACTTTATTCAAAAGCACCTTGTTAGCTATCAGGGAAATGTTATTGAAAACCACTATGAAACAGCAATACTCACCCATTTTAATGACTAAAATAAAATACACAGGCAACATTAGGTGTTGCTGAGAATATGGGCTAATCGGAAGTGTGATACTTGTTAATGGAGTGTGAAATAATAAAAATCACTTTGGAAAATTTCTCACATTTTCTCATAAAACAGAAAAAACACCCAGCAATTCAACTCCTACTACTTACCTCACAGAAATAAAAATATTCATTTTTTAAAAGGGGTTTTTTAAATAAACATTCAAAGTAGTTCTACTCCAGGAGTGAAAACTAGGAACATAGAAATGTCAAAAGAATGTAAGAGAATGGAAAACAAGTGCCAGTATAGTTAAAGATAGAATGTTAATCAACCATGAAAAATGAGCAAATACATATGATGACATAAATAAATCTCAAAACATTATGTCAAGTTAATAAACTGAATATAGATTACCTTTATATAGCTGTACTTAAGAAAAATTCTGCACTGTAGCACTGTCCTCCCATTGTTCATCGATTTGCTGGAGTGGGCACCAGTAACATCTCCATTGTGAGACTTGTTGTTACTGTTTTTGGCAAATTGAATACATCACGGTAGCTTGCCAGGCTCTGCCAGCGGGCAGGATACTCTCAGTAGCTTGCCGTTCTCTCTGAGAGGGGTGGAGGAATCAAACCTGGGTCGACCACATGTAAGACAAACAACCTACCCGCTGTGCTACCACTCCAGCCCAAGAAAAATTCTAGAACAGAAAAAAACTAATCTGGGGTGGTGGCCATAGGGATTGTGAAAAGGAACATAAGAGAACTTTGGGAGTGATGTTGATAAAAATTTCAGGTACATAAGTGTACCTAAATACAAAAATCAGTGAATTCACACTTGTGATTTCTGAATTTCACTACACATGGTTTCTACATAAGAAAAAACTACAAATAATAAACTGTAGTTAATAATGTATACTTTGAATCATTTGGGGATTGTCTCCAAACCAATATAATAGTAATTATAATAATAGGTGCAATAAATTATTAAAAGTAGAATCAAGGTGGCGGGCACATGAATGCACACGAATTCTTTTAACTTTGATGAATACTTGAAGGCATTCATAATACAGCAGGCAAGGTACTCAAGTAAATGCAGCATCTTGACTTCCCTCAATGTCCACAGCCTCCTAAGGGAGTGTGGACTGAGGAGGAGGTAGAGCTTTAGTGGCAGCCCTGTAGGGAGGGGAAGAGGCAGCACTCACTAGGTAGATTTGCAGAATGATGGTATCTGCACATGGTTTAGCCCCTTTGCAAAAAGTACTTGCCCATGAGTTTCCTTCTCTGCTGAGCCCTGCCCTCCTCATCTGGTCTCAAGGAGAATTTTTTTCAGTGCTATTATGCATTCTTCCTAAAGTTCAAATGAGGGGTAGCTTTTTGTTACTTCAAAAAACAGCTGCTTTCTTGGGGGAGATTTTGGAGAGCAGAAACATTTTCAGTCTTCTTTCTTTGTGTCCCCAGCCAATCATGGGCACCTCTCAGGAGGGTTGCTAACATGAATGCCATTTAGCTGCTCTACTGAAATATATGCTCCATGAACACCGAGAAACCATGGTCTCTAATTTATCACCAGTGTCTACAGGAGTGCCCAGGATACCACATGTACATGTTTCTATATCTGTACAAGATGACAAAGATTTTGTCAACATAAAAATCAAAGTAAAGATTCTGGACTTAAGTAGTCAAACATAGACAGATTGAAACAGTAACATATGAACTAAATATGTGGGAAAGAGATGTGTATTGTTTTTGAGGTTAATAATTAAGACAAAAATAAATTAAATCGACTAGAACTTTCCAAATATTTACCATGAGAATGCTGCCTTTGGCACATCTCAAGTCTACATTGGAAAGTTTGCTAGAACTATAGATTTGCATATGGGTGAGAGTCTGTTATGTTTTCAAAATGATGGAAGCAATCTCTTTTTGGCTGTCTGGAAAGGAAATGAAAGAGCATATGATTTGCAGCAAATTTGGGAACAGGTTTCCTGAATGGATGGAACGGATTTTTATGGGGATTGTGCAATTCTTTCAACTCCTTCTGTTGTCAGTCCATTTTCTACATAGTAAATTGGGAGGAAAGCCATCCATACCATATATTACCCATTCCAGATTAGACAACTTAAAAAGATGCACTGATGCTGTGATATGTGCCAGGACAAATTGAAACATCAAAGTAAGAGACTTGAGCCCTAGAATCGGGAGTTCATGTTTTCAAATTTAAAGACAGATTACAGCTTAAATAAATAAAAGCCTGGGCAGTAGTAAGGAAAAAAGAACTAGAAAAGCACAGATTATACATTTCTTACTTTCATTTTATGCCTATAGAAAATATCCCATCCTATCACTTGTTGCACTTTTTTAAGATGTTTTCTAATGAATATGATCCTTAGAAATCAACTCAATACATTTGGGATTGAGAATTCTATAATTTGTCTTCCAATTAAAAACTGTAAGAATTTTGCAAAAGATAACAGCCATGCATTTTAAAAAGGAAATAAAGGAGATAACATATTTTTGCATGTCAGTGAAGAAAACAAAGGTATGACAGAGAATATCAACAAAGGGGAAATTTGACTGAAAAAAATATAAACACCTGGTGATATTAACAAAAAATTAGCAATAT